GTGGGGTACGGTCATGTGGGGTACGGTCATGTGGGGTACGGTCATGTGGGGTATGGTCATGTGGGGTACGGTCATGTGGGGTACGGTCATGTGGGGTATGGTCATGTGGGGTATGGTCATGTGGGGTATTGTCATGTGGGGTACGGTCATGTGGGGTACGGTCATGTGGGGTATGGTCATGTGGGGTATGGTCATGTGGGGTATGGTCATGTGGGGTATGGTCATGTGGGGTATGGTCATGTGGGGTATGGTCATGTGGGGTATGGTCATGTGGGGTACGGTCATGTGGGGTATTGTCATGTGGGGTATTGTCATGTGGGGTATTGTCATGTGGGGTATGGTCATGTGGGGTACGGTCATGTGGGGTACGGTCATGTGGGGTACGGTCATGTGGGGTATGGTCATGTGGGGTACGGTCATGTGGGGTACGGTCATGTGGGGTATGGTCATGTGGGGTATTGTCATGTGGGGTATGGTCATGTGGGGTATGGTCATGTGGGGTATGGTCATGTGGGGTATTGTCATGTGGGGTACGGTCATGTGGGGTATGGTCATGTGGGGTATGGTCATGTGGGGTATTGTCATGTGGGGTATTGTCATGTGGGGTACGGTCATGTGGGGTACGGTCATGTGGGGTACGGTCATGTGGGGTATGGTCATGTGGGGTATGGTCATGTGGGGTATTGTCATGTGGGGTATGGTCATGTGGGGTATGGTCATGTGGGGTATGGTCATGTGGGGTATGGTCATGTGGGGTATGGTCATGTGGGGTACGGTCATGTGGGGTATTGTCATGTGGGGTATTGTCATGTGGGGTATTGTCATGTGGGGTATTGTCATGTGGGGTACGGTCATGTGGGGTACGGTCATGTGGGGTATGGTCATGTGGGGTACGGTCATGTGGGGTACGGTCATGTGGGGTACGGTCATGTGGGGTACGGTCATGTGGGGTACGGTCATGTGGGGTATGGTCATGTGGGGTATGGTCATGTGGGGTATTGTCATGTGGGGTATGGTCATGTGGGGTATGGTCATGTGGGGTATGGTCATGTGGGGTATTGTCATGTGGGGTACGGTCATGTGGGGTATGGTCATGTGGGGTATGGTCATGTGGGGTATTGTCATGTGGGGTATTGTCATGTGGGGTACGGTCATGTGGGGTATGGTCATGTGGGGTACGGTCATGTGGGGTACGGTCATGTGGGGTATGGTCATGTGGGGTACGGTCATGTGGGGTACGGTCATGTGGGGTATTGTCATGTGGGGTATTGTCATGTGGGGTATTGTCATGTGGGGTACGGTCATGTGGGGTATGGTCATGTGGGGTACGGTCATGTGGGGTACGGTCATGTGGGGTATGGTCATGTGGGGTACGGTCATGTGGGGTACGGTCATGTGGGGTATGGTCATGTGGGGTATGGTCATGTGGGGTACGGTCATGTGGGGTACGGTCATGTGGGGTACGGTCATGTGGGGTATGGTCATGTGGGGTACGGTCATGTGGGGTACGGTCATGTGGGGTACGGTCATGTGGGGTATGGTCATGTGGGGTATGGTCATGTGGGGTATGGTCATGTGGGGTATTGTCATGTGGGGTACGGTCATGTGGGGTATGGTCATGTGGGGTATGGTCATGTGGGGTATTGTCATGTGGGGTACGGTCATGTGGGGTATGGTCATGTGGGGTATGGTCATGTGGGGTATGGTCATGTGGGGTATGGTCATGTGGGGTATGGTCATGTGGGGTATTGTCATGTGGGGTATTGTCATGTGGGGTACGGTCATGTGGGGTACGGTCATGTGGGGTACGGTCATGTGGGGTACGGTCATGTGGGGTACGGTCATGTGGGGTACGGTCATGTGGGGTACGGTCATGTGGGGTACGGTCATGTGGGGTATGGTCATGTGGGGTACGGTCATGTGGGGTATGGTCATGTGGGGTATGGTCATGTGGGGTATGGTCATGTGGGGTACGGTCATGTGGGGTATTGTCATGTGGGGTACGGTCATGTGGGGTACGGTCATGTGGGGTACGGTCATGTGGGGTATTGTCATGTGGGGTACGGTCATGTGGGGTACGGTCATGTGGGGTACGGTCATGTGGGATACGGTCATGTGGGGTATGGTCATGTGGGGTATGGTCATGTGGGGTATGGTCATGTGGGGTATGGTCATGTGGGGTATGGTCATGTGGGGTATGGTCATGTGGGGTATGGTCATGTGTGGTATGCTCATGTGTTATGCTGACATGCAGTATGCTCCAGTGTTGTTACCACCAAGTGTTGTTACCTGGTAACAGACTTACAGGACAGCCAATGTTTGGAGATTGGACATGGATTCTGGGAAGAAGCCAATAAACAGGTTGTTGGAGAAGTCACTAACAGGGATGCAGGGAGGGAGATTAGATCAGGCAGGGCGATACAGTGGTAAAGACTGAGAAGTTATAATCATCTGGTTTTGAGTCGACTAAAAAACAAGTTAAGCTCATCTGGTTTTGAGTTGACTAAAAAACAAGTTATGCTCATCTGGTTTTGAGTCGACTCAAAAACAAGTTATGCTCATCTGGTTTTGAGTCGACTCAAAAACAAGTTATGCTCATCTGGTTTTGAGTCGACTCAAAAACAAGTTATGCTCATCTGGTTTTGAGTCGACTCAAAAACAAGTTATGCTCATCTGGTTTTGAGTCGACTCAAAAACAAGTTATGCTCATCTGGTTTTGAGTCGACTCAAAAACAAGTTGTGCTCATCTGGTTTTGAGTCGACTAAAAAACAAGTTATGCTCATCTGGTTTTGAGTCGACTCAGAAACAAGTTATGCTCATATGGTGCGTGCATGTAGAAAAATGGCAGAAAAATGGCATACGCAGTAAGTAACATCTGCTCACACACACAGTGAAACACAGTTTTGAGGCGCCTCAAAACAGTGGTGGTAAAGACTGAGAAGTTATGCTCGTCTGGTGCATGTAGGAACAAGGTGACTTTTGAGTCGACTCAAAAGTCAATTCATGCACATCTGGTGCATGTAGGAACATGGCATACGCAGTAACATCTGCTCACACACACACAGAGTGAAACACTCTGGCTTGTTACTGCAGGTAGGGTAACCACAATCAATGGTCTTCGCAACAAACTACCCCCACAGGCGTATGTAGAAACGGATGCATGGATGGATGGGTGTGCTTACCCAGGTTGAAGGCCCGCATAAGATGAGTCTGTTTTTTAGTCGATTCAGAAACAGAATCATCACATATGCGTGTGCTTGCCCCGGGTGAAGGCTGCATAATGAGTCTTGTTTTTGAGTCGATTCAAAAACAGACTCATCACACATGGGTGTGCTTACCCCAGGTGAAGGCTGCATAATGAGTCTTGTTTTTGAGTCGATTCAAAAACAGACTCATCACAAATGGGTGTGCTTACCCCGGGTGAAGGCTGCATAACGAGTCTGTTTTTGAGTCGATTCAAAAACAGACTCATCACACATGGGTGTGCTTACCCCGGGTGAAGGCTGCATAATGAGTCTTGTTTTTGAGTCGATTCAAAAACAGACTCATCACACATGGGTGTGCTTACCCCAGGTGAAGGCTGCATAATGAGTCTTGTTTTTGAGTCGATTCAAAAACAGACTCATCACAAATGGGTGTGCTTACCCCGGGTGAAGGCTGCATAATGAGTCTGTTTTTGAGTCGATTCAAAAACAGACTCATCACACATGGGTGTGCTTACCCCGGGTGAAGGCTGCATAATGAGTCTGTTTTTGAGTCGATTCAAAAACAGACTCATCACACATGGGTGTGCTTACCCCGGGTGAAGGCTGCATAATGAGTCTTGTTTTTGAGTCGATTCAAAAACAGACTCATCACACATGGGTGTGCTTACCCTGGGTGAAGGCTGCATAATGAGTCTTGTTTTTGAGTCGATTCAAAAACAGACTCATCACACATGGATGGGTGTGCTTACCCCGGGTGAAGGCTGCATAATGAGTCTTGTTTTTGAGTCGATTCAAAAACAGACTCATCACACATGGGTGTGCTTACCCCGGGTGAAGGCTGCATAATGAGTCTTGTTTTTGAGTCGATTCAAAAACAGACTCACACACATGGATGGGTGTGCTTACCCCGGGTGAAGGCTGCATAATGAGTCTGTTTTTTTGAGTCGATTCAAAAACAGACTCACACACATGGATGGGTGTGCTTACCCCGGGTGAAGGCCCGCATAAAAACCCTGAGAAAACTTAAAAAAATAACTGGACCTACACATGGCAAGTGGCAAGTGCAAGTGGCATGTGCAAGTGGCATGTGCAAGTGGCAGGCACGTGTGTGAAATGGCAAGCGCACATGCACTCACACATGCACTCACACATGCACTCACACATGCACTCACACATGCACTCACACATGCACTCACACATGCACTCACACATGGCGCAGATTTCTCAGCGAAGCTCCCAAAGCGTCTTGCACGTTGTACAGGATCTCGTTGTCACTCACGTCACTGCGGACAAGACAGGGTTCAAAAGGACAGTTCGACTTATGTGTGTTCCTAGAGGCACGTCCCTCCCGTCTTGCACGTTGTACCGGATCTCGTTGTCGCTCACGTCACTGCCGGCCAGGATAGGATAGGATAGGATAGGATAGCGAGAATCATGTGTGTTTCCAAAGCACCTCCCATCCCACCCATCAGCTCCCAAGGCGTCTTGCACGTTGCAGAGGGTCTCGTTGTCGCTCACATCACATCACTGCTAGCCAGGGGTGGAATGGAAGCAACAGGAAAGGGATTGATTGCAAGAGCAGAGAGGCTCTTGAGGCGCCTCACACCCCTCAGCTCCCAAGGTGTCTTGCACGTTGTACAGGATCTCGTTGCCGCTCACATCACTGCCAGGCAGGTGTAATGAGCAAGAGAGGGATTGATCTCAATTAAAAGAGTTGAATTCCTTGAGGCGCCTCCCACCCATCAGCTCCCAAGGTGTCTTGCACGTTGTACAGGATCTCGTTGCCGCTCAAATCACTGCCGGCCAGGGGTGGAGGAAGCAAGGACGGGATTGGTCTCAAGTGCGGAGAGGAGGGAGGGAGGGACGGAAGGGGGGAGCGAGGGATGGAGGGAGGGAGCGATGGGGGGAGGGAAGGGGGCGGAGGGAGGGAGGGGCGAAGAGAACGCAGGCTCAAGAGAGGGAGGAGGCCTCACATCTTTTGGAGGTTGATGAGGAGGGACGTGTTGAAAAGGGCGTTCCCCAACTGGCATCGCGACATAGAGCTGCAAGCGAGAAACAGGAAGGGGGTAGGGGGAGAGGGTGATAAGGGGAGAGGTGGAGAGGGGGAGAGGGGAGAGGGGGAGAGGGGAGAGGGGGAGAGGGGGAGAGGGAGCGGGGAGTGGAGGGTAGTGGAGAGCAGGCAGTGGGGGGAGAAGGGAAGTGGGGGGAAAGAGTGAGTGAGTGGAGAGGGGATGATGTGAAAGAAAGTTAACAGCCAGGGAAATGTCGCACATGGTAACAAGGTTACCACACACACTCACATGGTGATAAAGTTATGACACACACTCACATGGTGATAAAGTTATCACACACACTCACATGGTGATATAGTTATCACACACACTCACATGGTGAAAATGTTATCACACACACTCACATTCTGACAAGGTTGGTTAGTACAAACACAATCACATGGTGATGACAAGGTTAGCACACCCACTCACATGGTAACAAAGTTACCATCCACACTTATCCACACTCACATGGTAACAAGGTTGGTGAGAGCTGAGAACCCAGCAGGGAGGGATCCTCCGATGGGATTGTTGTCCAACACCCTGTGCACAAGGTAACCGCATGCATGCGCGTGAGTGTAACCATTAGAGCCCCGACATAAACCACATGCATGAGCCATGAGAATGAAAGCAACCGTGGTAACCACCTCTTCTTTATTTTTTTTCTTTCTGGAACCCTAAACCTTGTTCATATATATATATATACATATATATATATATATCACTCTTTTTTTTCTTGGCACTCGTGCAGGCACAATATACCCTACTCGTGTTTTACGACGTCTGTGTAGATAGAATACACACTCTCAAAGACGGCGTACAGTGTTTGCAGGTTGGAGAGGGAGGAGAGTCGCTCGGGAAGTGTGTTGCCGATTCGGTTGTGATCCAACACCCTGTTGACATCGGAAGGGGATAGGCATGATGATGTTATGATGCGATGTGTTGATGTTGTGCCATGATGATGTCACGATTAGATGTGATGATGTCACGATTTGATGTGATGATGTCGTGTCATTAGCGTAGGAGGTGGAAATTACACACAGGGTTATGGTATACACTGCATGGAAGACGGAAAAGAGAACAAACAAACAAACAAACAAACACCCCACAGGTTACATTCAGGGTGCGTATGTCGAGTCGGAGAGAGCAGCCAGTTCTCTCGACAGCGCAGGGGACCCACACGTTACAAGCAACATGCTACAGCCTACACAGTTCAGCCCAAAAGGTACTGTGTACATACAGCGAGCGGAGGTTGGGAAGAAAGCCTAGCTTTCCTGGCAGAAGGGAAAATCGGTTCCAGCCAAGCAGCCTTTTGAGTCGACTCAGAAGTCGCTACAGCTTAAAAAGTACAGCGGCTACAGACAACCCAACAATTAATGTGTACATACAGCGTGCGGAGGTTGGGAAGAAAGCCTAGCTTTGCTGGCAGAAGGGAAAACCGGTTCCAACCAAGCAACCTGCATGGGTGCATTGGGAAAGGGAGAAAGAAGAGCGTGTGCATGTGTGCATGCGACGAGGGGGAGAGTGGTGCATGCATGTGCGCTTGAGATGCGGGGGAGAGAGGTGTGTGCATGTGTGCATGCGAAGAAGGGGAGAGTGGTGTGTGCATGTGTGCATGCGAAGAAGGGGAGAGTGGTGTGTGCATGCGTGTGTCAAGGTGCCTCAAGCTTACCCAAAACCATAATGATCCCCCCTTCCCATCCCCCATCTTCTTCCTTGATCTCTCCCATTCCTTCCCCCGACACACTCACAGGTGCTTGAGTGAAGCAAGTCTAGGGAAGAACGAGACACCTCCCTCCAACTCGTTATCCGACAAATCAACGTGCTGCAGGCTCAGGGCGTGGCCCTGGGTGGTGGCAGGGCTACTGTAGCATGCACTGTTGGTGGCATGCGGGAAAACCGCATGCCACCAACATTTTGCCCGAGGCGCGCGCGACACGAATTTGGTGGCAATTTTGGGAGATTGCCCAATCACGCACCTCTATTTGCGCGCCAATTTCCTGACACCAACCTGACGTTTTATGAGTTCGTGGCAGGCTGCCATCTACAGTGGCCCTGCCACCACCCAGGGCCACGCCCTCAGCAGCCCTCTGGACTCCTCCCCCAGCAGCGGCCCTTGCAGGTTCAGCTGAGAGCTTGAGTGACACACTCACAGGTGTTTCAGCGACGTAAGGCGAGGGAAGAACGAGACACCTCCCTCCAAGTTGTTATCCGACAAATCTACGTGCTCCAGTCCAGGCTGAGCAGCCCTCGGGACTCCTCCCCCAGCAGCGGCCCCTGCAGGCTCAGCTGAGAGCTCAGTGCTCTTCCCTGGTGAATTTCCCAACAGACTCACAGGTGCTTGAGGGATGTAAGGCGAGGGAAGAACGAGACACCTCCCTCCAAGTTGTCCGACAAATCAACGTGCTGCAGGTTCAGCATCCCCCTGGATTCCTCCCCCAGCAGCGGCCCCTGCAGGCTCAGCTGAGAGCTCAGTGCTCTTCCCTGGCGAATTTCCCAACAGACTCACAGGTGCTTGAGGGATGTAAGGCGAGGGAAGAGCGAGACACCTCCCTCCAAGTTGTTGTCCGACAAATCAACGTGCTGCAGGTTCAGCATCCCCCTGGACTCCTCCCCTAGCAGCGGCCCCTGCAGGCTCAGCTGAGAGCTCAGTGCTCTTCCCTGGCGAATTTCCCAACAGACTCACAGGTGCTTGAGCGATGTAAGGCGAGGGAAGAACGTGACACCTCCCTCCAAGTTGTTGTCCGACAAATCAACGTGCTGCAGGTTCAGAATCCCCCTGGTTTGCTCTTAACCTCCCCCCATTTCCCCCCCCCCCCACTCACAGGTGCTTGAGGGATGTAAGGCGAGGGAAGAACGTGACACCTCCCTCCAAGTTGTTATCCGACAAATCAACGTGCTGCAGGCTCAGCATCCCCCTGGACTCCTCCCCTAGCAGCGGCCCTTGCAGGCGGTTGGAGTCGAGCAGCAGCACTTGCAGCGCAGTGAGAGCGCCGTACACAGCTGGGATGCGGCCTGTTAGGGAGCAGTTCCGCAGGCTACTGCTAGGGTTTAAGGGGAGAGAGGGTGGGGGCATACAGAAAGGGCCAGTGAGGGAAGGGAAAGGCTTGCAGGCGGTTGGAGTCGAGCAGCAGCACTTGCAGCGCGGTGAGAGCACCGTACACAGCTGGGATGCGGCCAGTTAGGGAGCAGTTGCGCAGGCTGCTGCTTTGGGGCAAAGGGAGGGGAGAGGTGGGGAGAGAGGTGTTAAGAGGAGCGGCGAGGGGAGAGCATGGCTTGCAGTCGGTTGGAGTCGAGCAGCAGCACTTGCAGCGCGGTGAGAGCACCAAACACAGCTGGGATGCGACCAGTTAGGGAGCAGTTGCGCAGGCTCCTGCTTTGGGGAAGGGTGGGGGAGAGAGAAAAGGGGAGAGGAATGTGTTGATGAAAGCGGTGAGGGAAGAGCATGGGTTGCAGGCAGTTGGAGTCGAGCAGCACAGAAGCACTTGGAGCGCGGAGAGTGCACTGAGGGCAGCGGGGATGCGGCCACACAGGGAGCAGTTGCGCTGCGCAGGCTGCTGATTTGGCGGCAGAGAGAAGAGAAGGAGAGGGAATGGGGGGAGAGAGTGAATAGGGGAGGAGAGAGAGGAGATGTGAGAGTGCACCGACGGCAGCAAGGATGCAGTGCAGCCTGACAGGGTGACTTTTGAGTCGACTCAAAATGCAGCCTGACAGGTGTATTTAGTGATTTTTTTAGACGCCTAAAAAATGCACCGACGGCAGCAAGGATGCAGCCTGACAGGGAGCAATTGCACAGGCTGCTGCTTTGGCGGGGAGAGAGAAGAGGGGGCGGGGAGAGGGAAAATGAGGAAAGGAGGGCTTTGCTTCCAGGTTATTGGAGGAACCTAGTCTGTTTGAAACGCAAGTACTTTGGACTGGAGCAACTTAGTCAAGTGATGTGCTTGGTACTTACAGCACTTGGAGTTGCGAGAGTGAAGAGAGAGCACTGGGAAGGGCGCCTCTGATACCGTTGTTGTTCATCAGGTCCCTGTAGTCATGAAATGCCATGGCATGGCATGGCACAGAGGGGCAGGTAGGTGGATCATGGTTTGAGCTGATTTTTAGCGGGGTCAAGAAAGAGAGGGAACTGGGCAGGGTGCCTCTGATGCCATTGTTGTTCATCAGGTCCCTAAGTCATCAAATGACACACATGTAAGAATGGTGATCATGGCACGGTTAGGAACAGAGATAATGGCACAGATAGTTAAGGAGATAGGTCGATCATGGACAAAATTCTAGCAGATATGCTTATAGCGTGGATGCCAATGCAGCTGCATAGCGCAACAAGGTGTCTGATACGAGTTGCGGCGTACAGGAAAGCGCTCATATTGAATGCTGGGCACAAAGGAAAGGTGTGAGACGGAATGAAGTGTGTGCGCGGGAAGGAATGAGGGAAAGGCGTGTGGGAGGGAGGGGGCACAGAAAGGTGTGGAGGACGGTTGCACAGAAAGGTGTGTGGAGGAAGGGCGCACAGGAAGGTGTGCGGGAGGGAATGAGGGAAAGGTGTGTGGAGGAAGGGCGCACAGGAAGGTGTGTGGGAGGGAATGAGGGAAAGGTGTGTGGAGGAAGGGCGCACAGGAAGGTGTGTGGGAGGAAAGGGGGCACAGAAAGGTGTGTGAGAAAGAGGGAGAACAAAAACGTGTGTGGGAGGGAATGAGGGAAAGGTGTGTGGAGGGGGAGCGTACAGGAAGGTGAGGAAGGAAAGTCTTCCGAGGTCGGGTAAGAGCGAGCCTTCAAGTCCCATCGCTGGAAGCATGCTGCGTGCACAGAGGGAGAGGGTGGTGAGGGAAAGGGGAAGGAGAGGAGAGGGAGAGGACCATTGGCACCTATATCAACGAAAGGACCATTAGAGAGGATGGGATGGGATGGGATGGGATGGGATGGGATGGGATGGGATGCGATGCAATGTAAGAGCACATTACCTATGGTGCTTTAAACACACGCTCTTTTCCTTACAGTGCAGTGAGTCGTTAAGAGCACAATCCTTACAGTGCAGAGACTCTTGCCTCGTTGAGCTCGTCCCGCGCACAGATTGTACAGGGTTTTGATCCTTTTTAATATAAAATATACTCGTTAAGAGCACAATCCTTACAGTGCAGAGACTCTTGCCTCGTTGAGCTCGTCCCGCGTGCAGCTCACCACGCCCATCCACCCATCCGCGCACAGATTGTACAGGGTATTTATCCTTTTTAATATCAAATATACTCGTTAAGAGCACAACCCTTACAGTGCAGAGATTCTTGTCTCGTTAAACTCGTCCTTTGTGCAGCTCACCACGCCCCACCACCCATCCGCGCACGGATCTCCCCCCACCGCCCACGAGCGCAGCTGGGGGGGATTCCCCCACTCCGTCTTCTGCTGCAGCAGCGCCGCCACTGAGGGGAGAACGGGGGAAGGGGGTGGAGGGGGAAAAAGGGGGAGGGAGAAGGGGGAGCGGGTGCGGAAAGGGTTGAGGGGAAGAAGGGTTTCTGTGGGGAGAGGGGAGGGAGGGAGAAGGTAGAGACCGGGGGAGGAGGCGGGGGGTTGGGGCAAAAGAATAAAAGTTTGAGGGTGCATCTTTCACCAAATCCCGGGGCTAAGAACAGTTCAGGCTAGACGAGGACGCCGAACCTTCGTTCTGATCCGTGGCGGCTTGGGACGAGTCGAGCGAGAACAAGCACGCGACGCACGACAGCATGAAGAGGAGCCAATGCCGGGCTCCGGCGATCAACGCGACGTTTCGCTGCCGGCAAAACATGGTAACCAGGACAGGGCGAAGGATCAGCGCATATAATCCAGGGATTGCGGTGTTCTGATTACAGGTGCTGCTACCGACACGCCGTCCACACACGCCGCTGCTGTAACCTAATTACAGGTGCATCGCTCCCTTTCAGCTGCTGCTACCAGACAAAACAACGACATCCGTTTCCCAAGAAATCGTGTAACACCGCTATCCGAATTCGTGAATATTAATCGCTCACAGCAATGGAACCAGAGTTTCAGAAAATACTACGCTGTACTACGCGTTTCATTGAATGCAATCAGGAAGATCGCAGCAAGATGCAATCTGTCATTTCTGCTCTGCTTCCACCTCGATCCTCCTAGTCTAAACTCAATCCCCCTCCTGAGTTGTCGCCGTGGATTTGTGAGAAAAAGGAAAGATCGAAGCTAGCTGCTCAAATCCCTGGGAATGACGTGAGGTGTTCATGAAATGAGTTTTGATGAGGAGCTCCTGGGGGATGATGTCTGCCAACCAATGGCAGGTGGAGGGATGAACGCGTTTCGTTCGCTGTTCCAGAATCTGAGATGGCCTGGCCTACATGGCGGACAAACGAGTCCAGTTGTTGACCCATATGGACCTGATTTCGGGCTAACAACGAATGCATCTGTACAACTAGGTATCTAATATGGTATACAGAAGTAATATAGTTTATGGGATATAAGAAGAAATGGTTGAGTAATTACACACATACTCAATGCAGCAGATATCATCATCCATTTAGTTCCAGATGTCTATATATAACTAATTTATCTATATATTCCTACATTCTTCCTTCATTTATCATTTTTACCACTAGTAGTTGATGCGATATAGACATCATTGTTTGTTATTCATTGTAAGATCAGCAGGGAAAGCATATGACTGTCTAGGTTTGATTTATCACAAGAATTGACTGTTCTGTCAGTCACCTTGGTCAAACAGACTCCACGCTGGTCCGACTGTTGTCAGCTCGGACTCGGCAAGGAACGTCAGGTAAAGTTGAGAAGCTGAACGCTCGCGAGTGTCGTGCGGGACACGTGTGCGGGGAAATTTTCGCCACACTCTGTTCAGCCTCGTGAAGCGTTTCGTAAACGTCCACAGTTTCACGAAGCTCTTTTTCTTGGCCAATCGCTGCGCAGACTTCGTTGACCTGGCATGTTCACACCGCAGACTCCAGCATACTCCGCTGTCATTCCGCGCAGCCGCTTTCGTTGCAAGAAAGTCACGCACTTCCTTCCGCCCAGGCGCCACGCCAGCAAGAAGTCCCGCGACAAGTTCGTTACCCCGTTTTTTCCAGGGAAATTATGTCAGTCGTAACGAACATAGGGCTCGATAACGCGTACGGTAACCCGATCGCGCAAACGGTCACTATATCGGAAGTGTTCGCGTGTTTGGTAAGTGGTGTAACGCGTTTGGTCACTAATGACTGGCGCTGAATCACGCGAATGGTCACAGCTGAAACCCTCGACTGATCTGACGGCTCTAATTCCAACTTTTCGGTTCGCTTTCCTGGAGCGTCGATTTTTCTGAAACAATGTATTCCGTCGGATCTGACATGTATCGATCGAACGGCCCAAGATCCAACTTCATACTCTATGTGCAATTACCATACGCGCAAATGTTTATCCGCTAAAACATATAAAGTTTAATATCAAAAGTCATCTGCTACCAGTAGTATTAAGTTCGTTAATATTTGTGGGCTATAAAGGGTACTCAACAAGTCTTTGTTTTAATCAGGGTGTAAAACAGAGTATCGAGCGGTGAGCAATACGTGAGCCGTTCGATCTGATAAAGTTTGATCCGACAGCTGAAACAAAATCGTGGGGAATCGACGCTCCAGAACAACGATTAGAAAGTTGGAATTGGAGCCGTCAGATCGGTCGAGGGTTTCATCTGTGACCATTCGCGTGATTCAGCGCCAGTTATTAGTGACCAAACGCGTTACACCACCTACCAAACACGCGAACACTTCCGATATAGTGACCGTTTGCGCGATCGAGTTCTCGTACACGTTACGGAGCCCCATGTTCGTTAGGACTGACATAATTTCCCTTTTTTTCACCATTCCTTCTTCCCCCCTCCCCTCTTCCCCCTCCGCTTCCTGAATCCCACCCTCTTCGTCTCTGCATGTGAGTTCACCACCGCCTTCCGCTTTCCATTTCTCTCCTCCTATTCAGATTTCTGTACTCCTTTACGTAGTCCTGCTAATTATGTCAGATTTTCGAGCACAACACACGCGACTCAAGCACAATACACCTTCGCCCTCAGCTTGAACCTAAGAGATAACTGTAGTTAGTTAGTTCATTAGCTCGTTAGTGTTATCATGAAACCGCTGAACCTCTCTCAAGGGCGAGGGAAATCCGCCATGTTAGGGTTTCTTTGCCTCGTTTTGCTGCTACCAGATTCGCCAACCAGGACAGCAGCAGCTGCTGCTGCTGCAGCTGGTGCGAGGGTTTTCCATACCGTAGGTCCGTACGGACGTGCGAAATTTGTGAAGAAAGGTCGCTCTCTCCAACGTTACCCTGTTCACGTGGCGAGAACTGGCGAGGAAAACGGCGCGGCAGGAGCCCAGAACCAGGCGGAACCAGGTTACGAAGATCTCGCTGACTCTGTCGCGGTGGAGAGGAGCCCTGTCGGAACGCCACGCAAGATTCGTGTGCTGACGTGGAACCAGGCGACTCCAGCGTCGCCCTCGCGAACGAGGCGACAGATGCGACAGCGACAGACGTCGCACGCGGACGCTTACGACGAGCCAGCTGTATTCGAACTCGGCGCCCCGAGCTGGGCGACTGGCGGGCGACATCGTCGCGGCGACAGCTGGGCGACGACAACAAGCGGGCGACATCATCGCAGCAGCCGCGGACCAGGACCCTCCTACTATCCGTCGCAGCAGGTTTTTTCAGAATCACGAAGACCGAAATATCAGACGCGGGTGTCTGCGCCTCAGTTGCGATACAGTGGTGTATCGCGGAATCACAATAACGGACCTCGAAGTCGCAATATCGCGTACACTTGGGGTCCAAATGACGTGGTGGAGTGGCACGGAAGCGATCAAGAATTCTCCAACTCCGATTCACACCCAGCCAGGCTCCGTGCAATAGGTCCGGAGGGTACGGATATGGTCTACGAGCTTGAGCCAGCTTCGGCTTGGAGCTTTGCCGAACCTGCGAGCGAGCCTCCGTCCGGGCAGCGTCAGCAGCAGCGGCACAGCGGAGTCCAGGTTCGTGTTGGTCCAGGCTTGGTGAAGGAGGCAACTGAAGCAGCTGATGGTGAATCTGAAGACGCGGGTTCGGATCCAGGCGTTCCCACTCTCGACGCATCTCCTTCAACCCTCCCCACGCATCAATATCGAACAGTAGCTGCTCCAATCCATGCAGCCCCCAGGGCTGATATTGGTACTCAGGGTGTTTCAAGTGATGGAATTGTAGAGAGGGAAGGGAGTGAGGAGGGTGAAGGGAGTGAGGAGATTGAAGGGAGTGGGGAGGGGGGTGGGATTGAGGAGAGGGAGGGGAGTGAAGAGAGAGATGGGAGTGAAGAGAGGGAGGATGCTGAGCGTGCGGAGAGAGACGGGAGTGAGGAAGGGAATGGGAGTGAGGAGGAGGATGCATCCGGAATCACGGCAAGGGCTCAAACTGTTTCTGAAGCAGCAGAGGAGACTGGTCCTGTTCCGGTCGCTGCAGGTGAGGCTGGCCCAATAGCCGGCCCAGCAGATGGCCCAGAAAATGGCGCTGGCTCGGTTTCAAACGGAACTGCGGGGGCAGGGGCAGGGGCAGGAGCAGGGGCAGGGGCAGAGGCAAAGACAGGAGCAGGGCCAGAAGCAGGAGCAGGTGTGGCTGGCCCAATAGAAGGGCCAGCAGATGGCACTGGCTCGGTTTCAAATGGAACTGCGGGAGCAGGCGCAGGGACAGGGGCAGAGGGAAAGACAGGAGCGGGGGCAGGAGCAGGGGCAGGGGCAGGTGCGGAATCAGGAGCAGGGACAGGGGCAGGAGCAGGGGCAGCAGCAGGAGCAGGAGCAGGAGCAGGGGAAGGTGCAGGGGCAGGGCCAGGGGCAGAGCCGGAGAGGGCTAAGAAGGTGAGTGTGGACACGTTGGAAGAAGCACGGATCATACTCAAGGGAATCGATGGAGGGGAGGATGGAGCGAGGGCTCAGATGAAACGTGTTCAGGCCACTGCCGCAGGCGTAACAACCCAAGGCCATGGCTCTGGTTCTGGCAACGGTGATGGCGCTGCTGGTGGCAGTGGTGGCACTGGAGAGGGGGTGGGAGAGGAGGGAGGGGTGGACTGGAGCCACGGCCTGAAGGCAACGAGCATGTATGTGGTGAAGGACGGGGACACGTGCGAGGGGCTCGCTTACCAGCTGTTTCGAGGGTCGCCTGAAATGATGCGCGATCTCAACCATGGGTTTGTGTGCTCCGATGCCACTCTCGCACCCAACATGCAACTGTTCGTGCCGTGAGGGGGTGGAGAGCAAAAGGGGGCGAGGGGAGGCATGAGACAGGCGGTAGGCTAGTAAGCGGGAGAGAGGGGGGGGGGTGAGGGGGGAGGGGGGGATGTGGGGAACACTACTCTGTGGGTATGTATGCATGCTTGGATTCTTGCAGAAGTGCGTGCTTTCCTGTTTCACAAGCAGCTGATTGCATGAGAATTAGAAGGGCTGGGTGGAAACAGGGGAGGCGGAATCAGGGGAAGGCGTAAATGAAAGCCAGGGAACAGGCAGGGGATCCCAAAACGAGTGGACAGGCGGGGTGCAGGAGGGAAGGTACAGACTTGTAGCGCCACACGTGGAGAGAGTTTTATGATAGGAGGGTTAGCAAGCACATACGGGGAGGGGAAGAGACATCTAGCGGAGAAGATAGAGATATGGTTGCTTGAAGATGGAAATTTATCTGGCATATGGAAGTGTTCCTTCCCTCACTCGTGGTAGAATTGTGTGCGCGCCTTTTCTTTGTGTGTGCTAATTAAGCGTCTGCTTGTTAGTATGCTGAACTTTATCCTTGCCTTGGTTCTTGGATGCACTGAATTGGAAAATGGTGATGCTATGAATCACGCAGAATAGAGAGACACAAGACCCAAGGTCAATCTACCAATCCACGAGAAATAGTGGATAGCTTCTAACCCTACTCAAGCCATCGCGCGGTTCGATCTTCATTCTCTACCTTCTAATTCCTCCCGTTACCTCCCTTATCGCTCATCACACGCTCATTGTCGCTCCGCTTTCCTCAATTATCCGTTTCGTCCATTACCTCACGGCTTGAAGTCCGTTTTGGCAGTAGTAGCCTTAGCCTTCGCCTGAGTAATGAGGTCCAACGCGTCTTTGTACGTCACTTTGTTAAGCATCACCGACACGCCGTTAAGTGTCGCGACGGAGTTGTCGATCTGCGTAATCACCAGCGCGCGCTGCCCCTGGTTGATTAAGATCACCGCGTTCTTAAGAGCCTGCGCGGTGCTCTTTAGATTCGCGTAGTACTGGTTCGTCGGCGTCAGCAGATCAGCCGCATCCAACGTTAACGACGACGCTGCCTCGAGATTCGCGATAACGGACACGTCAGCAGGATTGACGGAACCCTTTGAGGGCGTCGAAGGAGTTGACGGAGTTGACGGAGTAGTCGGCTTTGGCGTGGAAGGTGTGGGTGTTGTCGTCTTCACGGGAGATTTCGGAGGTGACGGCGATGGCGATTTTTTCGGCGACACGGGAGGCGACGGCGACTTCTTGGGAGGTGATTTGCTCGGCGACTTGGGTGGTTTCGGTGGCGAAGAAGGCGACTTGGATTTTTTCGCTGCATCCCTCGCAGCTTTCGCCTCTTTACGCTCTTCCTGCTCTTCCTTCTTCTTATCCCTCGCTGCCTGCATGGCCGCATGTCGCTTCTGCTGCTCCGCTTTCTGCGCCTTCTTCGCAGCCATTCGCGCGGCTTTTTCTTCTGGCGTTTCCGTTGCCAGAGTCGTTGCGAGTTGTAACATCCGTCGCGGAATGACAAGGCCCTCCCATGCCGGCTCGTCGTCGCGATGATGTGGGACTGGTTTCGACGAACCTCTAAACATCGCGGACCAATCGGGTCGTAGCTGAAGGCCTCGTGCCGAAGCTTGCGAGGCGAGGGTTGCGAGGAGGAGGGAGAGTAGGGGGAGTGGAGCAGCCAAGACGGCTACTTTACGAATTCCCATGATGCTCAGCTGGTGTCTTGGCGATTTGATAGTCACGGCAGGTGAATTAAGAACAAAGGAGACGAGTTTGAAGAAGAAAGTGTCTGAAGAAGGCGTCGGATTCGTCAACTAGGGATTCGCAGTCACTAATGCTTCACAAATCAACTCTGTCTAGTGAGACGTTTTCGAGAGCTTTTCAATGTTGAAGGGGGAGCATAAGGAGGGAGGAGAGGGGAGAGCTCAAACGACATTCGGAAATTTCTTCGAGTGTTGGGAAATCGAAGCGCGGTACACGGACCGCGCGAGGGAGTCGGCGAACAAATTCTCGCGCTGCCAGCGATAAGCAGGTTGGCGAGAGGCGACGTCGCACATGCCTCGGTTGAGTCGGTGTTGCGATTTTACCACGGGTCTGTACGACGATTTTCGGTGAAATTTTGAGTGAGCCAATCGCAGACGCGGGCAGGGGCAGTGCCTCGAGCGATTTCGCTCGTTCCCCCGCCTTTGAAGGACGAAAACTTTTGCGCAACTGGTGCTGCGAAAAAGAGCTTGGCGCGAGAACCATAGCAATTTGACGAAATCCGCCACAGGCTAGCTGAAATCTGTACTACGTACACTAAACTTGGTTGTCACAAAGACCAGACCAGATAGATTCACTTGTCACCAATCAATGTACTAGTACAATTTGAGAATGAAATCATTTTCCATTACTTCCTGGTCCAGTTACAGAGCTTCAATACTTCACCAACAGTGCTGTCAACTTTAGTGATTCGACCTTGACCCATAAGGTCCCGGAGTATAAAAGAATAAGGAATTGCAGCTTTGTGCTTCTTTCGGACCTCCAGCTTCGATTTTAGGATCTCACCAAACCTGCTGCGCTGCAGTAGACCTATGACCTCAGACCGCCCCTGCAAGAAAGCAATAAAAATGCAATTTTGCAGGAGAACATGCAGATGCAGTGACAAAATGGAACGCAATGAAATGAATGCAACAAAGGCAACCTACCTTAGTGAGATGCTGGGTGAATGAGCCGATGTTAGGAAGCGAGAACCAATATGAATCGATGTGTGCCACCTGTGCAACCTGTTGGTGGGAGAGCAAGAGGCAATGCGAGAAGACGCACAGCCGGGGGTAGAAGGTCATAGGTGATGCAAGAATCTTAACTTAAGCATCCAACAAGGTTTGCAACACAAGCAAGCCTCTATATTTTTTAGATTCTCAAAGCAAGCGTTTACCAATAAGGCTGGCAAGAGGGGGCGCGTGAAATGGAGACAAGTAAAAGGGGAGGAAGGACAGGTGCTTACCAGCAGCCCTGCTTGCACAAGAATGCAGATATGAGGTGACTTTTGAGTCGACTCAAAAGTCACCTCGAGACAAGTAAAAGGGGAGGAAGGACTGGTGCTTACCAGCAGCCCTGCTTGCACAAGAATGCAGATATGAGGTGACTTTTGAGTCGACTCAAAAGTCACCTCGAGACAAGTAAAAGGGGAGGAAGGACTGGTGCTTACCAGCAGCCCTGCTTGCACAAGAATGCAGATATGAGGTGACTTTTGAGTCGACTCAAAAGTCACCTCGAGACAAGTAAAAGGGGAGGAAGGACTGGTGCTTACCAGCAGCCCTGCTTGCACAAGAATGCAGATGTGTCTGTCCGTGACACATGACTTGCCAGCATTCGATAGAAGTCGTTCCTGTGGAGAGAGCGAAAAAAAAAGAACAGGCATGATGAGCACATGTACAATCTGATAAAGAGAAATTAACTAGAGTAATTAACTAGAGTAATTAACTAGAGAAATTAATTAGAGTAATTAACTAGAGAAATTAACCAGAGTACCTGTTCCTTGTGTACGCACCAGCTGCTGCCGTGATATGCCATGCTCCGTACACTGTGGAAGCACCCGGTCTTTGAACCAATCAAACACTGCCACCTGGCTGCTCTCAGTTCCAATTCTACCGCACTTGCGCCTGCTGTTCTCCTGCCTGTTGCTGGACTTGGTACCATGACTGCTGCTATCCTCTCGAGGTGACTTTTGAGTCGACTCAAAAGTCACCTGCCTGTTGCTGGACTTGGTCCCATGACCGCTGCTATCCTCTCTGCCGCTGCAAGCACCCTTCCGTGCAAGAAGAGGAAAATCTCCAGCATTACAGGCCGTGCGCCCAAGAAACTGTTGTTTGGCACCCTCAACCTGCAAACAATGATGACGGTGGATAATAATGACGATGATGATGACGCACACAGAAAAAGAAGTTCGTCTGAGATTGGGTCGTTCAATCCAGGTTCTCCTCAGCATACTTTTGAGTCGACTCAAAAGTCTCGTTCTTCAATCCAGGTTCTCCTCAGCAGACTTTCGAGTCGACTCAAAAGTCACGTCGGTCAATCCAGGTTCTCCTCAGCAGACTTTCGAGTCGAATCAAAAGTCACCGTCGTTCAATCCAGGTTCTCCTCAGCAGCACAGTCAAGTCCTTTCACAGCGGCATTGGATTTTCAGGCAAGAATCTCATAAGAGCGATGCTCTCACCACTTGGTCATAGTCCTGAGACAGCAGCACAGCAATGTCGGTTCGAGATGACATGAGGCGGATCACACGCACCGACCCACTCCTCTGCAGCATCTGCAGTTGGGAACAAGCAACTGTGGATTGTGAGGCACTAGCTCCTTATTGGTCACGTGCCAGCACTGCAGGGTTTATTGGAAACGACATGAGGCGGATCAATCATGCTGCTGGCATGTTCCTCTGCAGCATCTGCAACTAGCCTTGAATGGGATAAGTGGGGGATCCACGAGTAATCGGTAAAGAAAACATCAGGTTTGGAAACGCGGGGAGGAAAACAGCGAGGAAAAAGAGGGGTAAAGGAAGGAACTAGCCTGAGGAGGTATATACATACGGGGTACAGAATCAGGGCTTTCTGACCTCGAGCTGTCGGTCCACAGTGGTTCGGTGCGGTACCACGGTGTAGATTTGGGAGAGCAGGGCGAAGGGAGGGAGGGAGGAGGCGACCTGAAAGGGGGAGAGATAAGGAGCAAAGGGAGAAGGCTGGTCAGTCAAGCAGGCAGGCTGAATGGTATGATGTGCCAGGGTGAGGGCCGGGGGGGCAAAGGAGATCTATGGATGGGATTGGGGATAAATGGAAGCTGGTGGTCATAGGGAAGAGAGAAATGCCACTAGCTGCAGCTGCAATAAAAAAAAAGCAGCACCTGGAAGAGAGATGGGAGGAAGGGGGTACCTGGAAGAGAGATGGGGGGAAGGGGGTACCTGGAAGAGAGATGGGGGGAAGGGGGTACCTTGGAGAGTGACGGGGGGAAGGGGGTACCTTGGAGAGTGA